TTTGGTTTGATTCTTCATGCTTTAGTATTAAAAACAAAACTTAAATTTTAAACTTAAAAAACTTAACATGTGTAAAAAACATAACTTTCTTGAAACTTTTAAAACAGAATATTAAATAGCTGAGAAAATTTATATCGCATGTTAGGATTCGATCAATTAATTTTGTACTCAGCCTGAGGTCTTCTTTAAGTCAATAAATCAAAATTTGTCTTAAAGAAAATCTGTTTTTATATATCATATTGTATATGGACGTTTTCAGATTGTGAGAACAATTTTTGACGTTTCTGGTTTGTTTACTTTTGTGGCTGTCAGTTTGTTGACTATTTTGCTATTTTTTGTCCTGTTTTTACATTTTGGAATTATTTATATTACACAAACAGTTATTTTCACACCTAACTTTATATTGCAGCTGAAAATTTTATGGTAAGTGTATTTTAATTTGCCCTTAATTTTCCTTAAAGTTAACCTTATTCACACAGATTGTCATAACCATTTTCTGTCACTTTTTGTTGCTTTGAGTAAATTTCCTACTGATTTCGTATGTTTTAAATCATGACGCACGGGTAAAAATAAATTGACTCAACTGAAATACGTTGTTATTGAATTCGTTATTGATCAAATTTCATGGCATGTGATTTCTCTCATCAATCGTGAGAAAAATAAATAAATAACGAACATTTTCCTCCGGTTGGCAACACTGCTGAAATGTACAAATGTAGCTTTCAATTTTTATACGTGATGGGAGGGGCAACCTTTTTGGGGGAGTTTTCACCTGTTTTAAACAACGAATTCAGAATCCAGCCGCACGTTGAAGTATTGAATTTGTATAATATAATTATTTGACAACCTTTTGTTGGCTAAGCACCTAAAGCGAAGTAGATCCGATATACATGTATTTCCTATGTTCCGTTTTAATTTGGTTCAATTTGTATGTACTAAGACAAATCACACAAAAAGGCCATCGAGTACAATAAACCAGCATATCTATGTTTTATAGACCCGACAAAGTCTTTCGATCGCATCCAAGTCGAAGACGACTTACACCTACTGTATGAAAGAGACATACCAATCAATATTATACAAACCATCGAAAATATCTACTTCCATAATCGAATACAGGCAAAGATAAATGGAAAACTAACACAGTGTATACCAGTACAAAGCGGAGTCAGACAGGGTAACTCTTTAAGCTCAGTTCTTCTTAATGTAATAATGAGCGAAATAATACAAGCAGTACGTAAAGACCATGGTTAGAGAATGGAAAACAAAGAAATTCAAATATTATGTTATGCGGACGACTACGCATTAATCGCCGAGACAGAAGACGAGCTCCAAAGATTAACACACATCTTCAATACAACACAACAGCCAAGAAATTCAATATGAAATATTAGCAGAAAAAACCAAATGTATGACAACATCTAAATACCCACTAGGATGTAAAATCGAAATTGATGGAAAAATAATAAAGCAGGAAGCAAGGTTGAGATATCTGGGAATATACATAACTAGTTACGGAGATGTTAAACAAGAAGTACCACAACAAAGCTTAAAAGCAAGTAAAGCGGCGGGATCTCCTAATGACACAATCTGGAAGAACAAACACTTAAAACAAGACACAAAACAAGACTCTATAAAGCAGCAATTGGACCTATATTAACATGCACGGAGGAGAGAAGACCTGACACATCTAAAACGAGACGGCTACTAGAAACAGGAGAAGAAAATACTTCGACGAATATATGGGAAAAGTCTGTTGGATAGGGAGAGAAGCGAAAACATAAGAAGAGCATGCAATATAGAAGACATAAATGGATGAGTGACAAAACGAAAACAGGAGTGGAACGAACACATCAGTAGAATGGCAGAGGATAGAATAGTACGAATAGCACGAGATAAATCACCAAATGGACAAAGAAGTATTGGCAGACCAAAAAAAAGATGGTGTGACAATTTAAACAATTTAGGAGGCTAATATTGAAGAAGAAACAGACTTTCAAGGCCTACATACAAGAAGAAAGAAGAAGAGTTTTAATCTTAATTGAGTACATTCTCCCGTAAATGATAAGTCTATATATACTGACACTGATATTAAAATTAATTTTACTCTTACAGAAGCCTACAAAACGAATTCGTTTAATGGCCCCGTACGCCAAACGAATGTGAGTTCATTGAATTCGACGGTGTCATTTAAATCAATTCGCCTAAATTGGATTTTCTTAGCACATTTTTCAAATGTTAAAAAAGACTACAGTGGAATTCGCTTATTACGGCCTCGGTAGTTACGTCATCTCGGTTATAACGTCAATTTTTAATAGGTCCGGTCAAAAACTATTCCATAACGTTATTAAAAACCCGGTTTTATCGGCTAAAAATAAACTAACCCTCGGTTATAGCGTCATAAAATTTTATAGTAGGTTATCCTTTTTTTATTTTATGAAGAATAAAGTGCAATGCGTTTCTGGCTTTACGGCATTTGTTCCTTCCAAGAATGTAAGAAAGGTCCATTATCCCTTCTGTGTACAGTTATGTTACCCTGACAATCTATAATTTCGCATTTATCAGTGCCGTCCTAACACTCCTAACAGTCAAATTTTCTGTTTCGGAACAGTCGGTTTAAGAAATTTTCGCTACCGTGAAATTGTGTTCGGATCGTTTTGTTTTTTTTTTATGTTAATTTGGTAATTTTTTAATATGGCAAGTTGTAGCACTAAAAGGAAGGTTTTGCCTATTAAAGAAAAAGTGCGTGTTATAAGAGCATTTGAAAGTGGTCGAAAAATTGCTGATGTATGCCGGCAATTTGGACTTGTTAATTCGACTGTCGGCTCAATCATAAAAAACAAGGACAAAATTTTAAAAGCCTTTAAAGAGGACGGAAACAATGTTAAAAAGATTAGGAAGTGCATTCGTGGTGATGTAGATTCAACTCTACTCAAATGGTTCAAGCAGTGTCGCAGTTCTGATATCCCTGTGTCCGGGCCACTTTTAAAGGAGAAAGCTACAGAGTTCGGAAAATTGTTTGAAGATTTCACATGCTCTAACGGCTGGTTAGATCGGTTAAAGCCAGGCACTCAATTTCCTTCTCGAAAATTGTTGGAAAGGCAAAATGTGTGGACGAGAACGTAACAAGTGACTGGTTACAAAACACATGGCCACAACAAAGGCAACCATACAAAGATGAAGATATCTTTAATGGTGACGAGACAGGTGTCTTTTATAAATTAACGCCAGACAAAACTTTAAATTTCAAAAATCAAAAATGTGTAGGTTGAAAACTTTCCAAGCAAAGAGTAATGGCTTTTGTTTGTGCAAGTATGACAGGTACAGAGAAAAGAAAGCTTTTGGTTATTGGGAAAAGTTTACATCCTAGATGTTTCAAAAACATTAAAACACTACCTGTAAACTACACAGCCAATAAAAAAGCATGGATGACTTCTGCTATTTTTGAAGAAGAATTGAGAAAGTGGGACAAGGAAATCTCTTTCAAAAAAAGAAAAATTCTTCTCCTAGTTGACAACTGTGCAGCCCATCCCAAACTTAATTTGACCAATATAAATCTAGTGTTCTTACCAGCCAACTGCACAAGTGTCTTGCAGCCTATGGACCAGGGAGTCATCAGAAGTTTAAAGTGCCATTATCGAAAACAGCTTTTAAAAAGAATGATTTTTGGTATGGATAATGGAGAACCTGTGAACATTACCATCCTGGATGCTGTTTAGTTTTTAGACAATGCGTGGAGTGCGGTTACGTCAGTGACAATTCATAAGTGTTTTCGTCAAGCAAAATTGACTGTAGCTTCTCTCAATGTTGAGGACGTTGATAAAGATGACGAAATGCCTTTGTCAGAGTGGATACAAAAATTTAATGTGAATCAGGGAGCGTTCGGAACTGATCTGGACTCCTACATTTCAGTAGACGATGAGGTGGAAACATTTCAAGTCCTAAGTGATAAAGAAATTGTTGAACTGGTGCAAAACGTGGAAATAGATGTCGATGAAGCTGAAGAAGAAGACATCGTTGCTTGTCCTACAATCCAAAAAGCAATTAGAGCTGCTGAGACCATATCCAGGTTTTACCAGTTCAGGGAGGCATCCACAAGTACCAAAGAAGCAGCTCAGTTTATTAAGGAAACAACAGAAAAACTTTATTTTTCGGAAAGGGTTGTGCAAAAGAAAATAACGGACTTTTTTCAGCAATAGAACTTTTTTACACAATGTAAGTTTCATATATATACATAATATATTTTGTTTTTTAATTGTTTTTTATCCTAAAATGATTCTTGTTTTTTTTTTAATTTGACTTAAGTAAATGTTATATTTTCTGTATATCGTAAACTATGTTAAATTATCATGTTTAGGCTCAGAGTAATTAACAAATAATATATCTACTATACCCAATAATGCTGTAATAATATTTTCCCTCATTAAAATTTTATTTTTCTCAACCTCTTTTTTAACGTCACTCTGATATAGCGTCATTTTTTTTATTGGACCCTTCAATGACGCTATAACCAAGTTCCACTGTATAGGGTTAAATAAAAACAGTAAGATTTTCAACAATCTTAGCCTCTCCTCGCTGATTCCTATCCTACCACTAGTAACAATCTTTCATATTTTTGGGACGGTATTTCAGGTAACTAAAATTGATCTACCGTTTTAAATATGTTTCTCTTATTGTTTTTCTATTTTGTTTTATAGAAACTATTTTTTGTGGATATTACACACTTTTTGGTGAGATGCTTGATAGAATGGCCATTTGAAACCAGAGCTACTGAAGCAGAAAGTATTTTTCTCCAGAAAATTTTCCGCAATAGTCGACTTCTACATCATTCTACTTTTGACATAAAATATTAATTGATGTAATTTCTTTAAATACTTGAAATCTAGGACGCATATTGGAAGTAGCGTGTGACTAATAGTGAGCAAAATATACGAAACAAAAAAATATAAAAAAAAAACAATCTAAATGTCATAAACAGATAAAATTGATTATAAAATTACCTGTACTTGTCTTGAACCTTTTGTTTAATATCAGCAAGATTTTCAGACGTAATATCCCTCTCCAAATACTCCGACAATGTTTCGGTGGCACTCTCGAGGTCTTTTTGGTTATCTTCAAAAATCACAGACTGGTTATTCTTTTGTAAGTAGTAAGCAAATACGTAAGTGTACATTAACGTTTGTCTACACTGACACAATATATCTACAGCTTTTTTCAAAAATTGCACCTCTATCCAACTCATATTGTGTTGTTGCATTTCTTCCATTTTTTCTTTTACTGAAGCATACAACTTGTGTTCAAATTTCAAAGATGCCATATGATTCATATATCTATTGCAATAAAACAGGTAACGCTGAAGTGCTGATCGAGACTTCTCTTGTGCATCTCTCGCAGCCTTTGCTTCATCTTCATCATACCTATTACAGTTATACCAGGAACTCCCATGGGGCTCCCAAGGTCCTAAACATACCCAACAGAAATCCGCTTTGCAGTTTTGATTTTTACAAACCATATGATTACAACCTCCGTCCTTTTCTATTGTTACATTACACCTAGGACATTCTTTGGTGTTAGCCGCTATCCAGTTACTAGTTTCTGAGTCGTCGTCACATTTCTTTATCCATTTTTTTAAAAGATGGCATTTTACAGGATCATGCCAATTTTCCCCACAAGCAAAACAAAATGTATGACTACATTTACAAGTTACCCTGTGGGGCTCCACATACTGAACCTTTATTGCATTGCTACAGTCTGGAGATGGACACCATCTCAATAATCGATTGCACTAAAAAATTATGTATATATTAATAATCGCAAGATCTTTATACAAACAAATATGTGTATGTTATATGCTGACGATGTGCCAAAATGACAGATCATATCAAGGTAAAGTTAACGGCAAAAATTTTAACAGACAAAACTTGCAAAAAGCAATTCATATCACAAATAAACACTGAAAACTCCGGCTCGGGTAAGTGCTGGGTGGATTGAGTAGCTCAGCAAATGCCGGGGCCGGTCCCAAGTCCGGATAAAGGAGGAGAATTTAGGTGATGGGCTAGCAACTCATCCCTTGCCAAAAGAAATAAATGTTAAAAATTTAGACCAAAAGCCTGGGAATACAAAGGATGGATCAAAACAAAAACGACTAATGCAACGGAAAATGAAAATGATATTGGCTACATGAAATGTACAATAACTTAGAACAAAACAAGCAGAAGTATTCAAAGAATTAAGAATTCAAAGAAGTATTCAAAGAAAAAATCTTGAAAAACAATATTAAATCGTGGACTGAAGTAAATGAACAACTGCTAATACTGGAAATGAAAAAGAATGCGCACATCGTAATTGTCGAAGTGTATGCCCCAAATGAAGATGCAGATCCAGAAAGTAACGACGATTTCTACAAGATGAATGAAATACTCTCTTAGTTGTAGAATGACAGTTAAAGAAAACTGTGAAATCTTTATACTAGAAGATTGAAACGGCTAAGTAGGGAGAGAAGAAAATAACAGAGTTGTAGGAAGATATGGGGAACAAATAACCAATGACAACGGAATGCGTCTTAGAGATTTTTGTGAAACAATGTCTTTCAAAATTATGAATGGACTTTTTCAACATAGAGACATTCACAAATTTACATGGATACAACCTACTAGGAATATGCGCTCGATAATCTACTATGTAATCCAAAGTCAAATTTCCCATCTGAAAACAACTGACGTAAGGGTATACCGTGGATCAGAATGTGCATTCGACCATCGTTTACTTATGGCCAACGTGATAGTTAACTATCGCAACAACAATAACGCTCAGGTACAGAATAAAAAAAGGGACAAGTAACATCCCCTAAATATAACCTAGAAAGCTTAAAAGAAGATTCAACGAAATTTCTTTACAAATTACGACTGGCCACAAAATTACAAAATGTGCTTCGAAAAAATATATCAGCGGAAGAATTATACCAGTAACTTAAAAATGCATTCATGAGGCTGAAAGTGAAGCTTTGGAGTATAAAGACAAACATGAAACAAAAAGTCAAGAATGGTGGTCGGAGAATATGCAAACGTTAGTAAACAAGAAGAAAACTGATTATCAGAAATGGATGTCAACGAGAAAGGAGGAAGATTACAAGATATATAAAAAATTAAATCGAGACATAAAAAGAGAAGTAGTGAAAAGTAAAAAATGAGATGTGGGATCGAAGATGTGCAGAGGTGGATAGGTATATGGGTGGAACAAGAGTTGGACTAGCGTAGAAGGTGATAAAGTCTCTCAAGAGGGAAGGAAAGGAAAAATCTAACTTACTGTTAATAGATCTGAAACAGTGGAAACACCATTATGAGGTCTTACTGACAGGCGATAGATGTAAATTCCAAGAGATAGAAATGGAAGAAATATCCGAACATACACAAATAACTGAGATAGCTACCGGAGAGTTAAGTGATGCCCTCAAAAGATCGAAAAACGGTAAACGACGGTCCAGGACCTGGAGACATCAGAATTGAGTTGGTAAAGTATGGACCAAAAATATTACATGAGATGTTGGTTCAACTATTTAACAAATGCTTAAAAGGGCAAAATATCCCTGATGATTGGAATGTTGGTACATCAGCTCAATATTCAATAAAGGGGATAAACGCAAATGCTCTAATTATAAAAGAATAACTGTTAACAGCTCAGTGGGGAGGTTGTAAGGTCGAATAATAAAAGAAAGAATAGAATTAAAATACGAAGACATAGAAGAACAAAATGAATTTCGTGGAGGAAAATTATGCACTGATGCATTGAATGAATTCGATCTGCAGCTGGTAATCGAAAAATGGAAGCCAAGGAATCTGTCTACCCACCTATTGTTTATAGATTTAGAGATGGCATACGATACGGTACCTTTGAAAACACTGTTCCAAACATTAACGAAAGTAAGTCTCAGCAGAGTTAAAGAAGGAAACTTTATGTCTGAATCATTTCCAATAACAAAGGGGCTTAAACAAGGATGTTGTCTACCTTCGACCCTTATTTAAAATATATATTCAATCGTCGCTAGAGCAGTGGAGGAAACAAGTATCCGGAATGGGAATAGACATAGGCGCTGGTAAATGTCTAACAACTTTATTTTTCGCAGATGATCAGGTAGTTGTAGCGAATGATGAGGAAGACATGGACTACATGTTTAAAAAACTACAGAAAGAATATGAAAATGAATATAAATATCTCGGATCTATAATATCTAAAGAAGGCACTACCAAAAGAGACATCGAAAACAGAACGCAACAGGGAAAAAAAACGGTAAACATTCTAAACTCTCTACTATGTTCTAAATATATTAGACAAGAAATTGACAATCTATCGAATCTTGGTAGAACCGGGGAAAAAATTTGGCAGATCACGAAAAAAGATAGAAAAATAATAGAAGTAGTAGAAATGGATTTTCTAAGGAGAGCGCGTGGTGTATCCAAAAAAAATCATATCATGAAGATATTAGAAGGACAAATACTGGATGTTCCAGTGTAGACAGAATTGAAACGAGACAACTAGTGTGGTATGATCACGTGAAGCGAATGAATGAAGATAGATGGCCAAAGAAAGCTTTAAATTAAATACCACAAAAAAGAAGAAGGGGAAAGCCTTCAGTTGTCTGGGAAGAAAATGTACGGCACATAATGAGAGATAAAACCATCAAAGAAGACGAATGGATGGGCAGAATTTTTACTTTGCGTATGTTAGAGACATGCGCAATTGTAACTGTGTATCTATGTATCTACTTTTTAAACTTACCTCAACAAAACTGTTCGTGATAAGATGTTGGTATTTGAGTCTTACTTTAGAGTCTCTAACTAATCGCATTACACTAGCATCATCAACCAGGATATCACAACCATGAGCTGCACATGCTATTGTTTGTCCTACACCTTCTTCCATTATTTTAGTGGTCAAATATTCACACCAACAGTGGGTGCAAAATCTATGGCCGCATTCAAGTCCGGTCATATGCTGAAAACAAAATACGTTAGAACGATAAAAGAATTTGTATAGAAGATCGCAAGATTTTGTATATATTCTTCTTGTTTCTTCTTTTTAACATTTTCAGTGCTACAGTCTCTGTAGCTTTACCTCTAACCAGTACAGCTGTGTTTAACGGACAATCGTGCCCGTATTACGGATAATTTTGATTATGCACAGACAATATTATATAGTTACACATGTTTTCTTCTAAATAACAGACTAACGGGGTGTTGCAATAAATTACTAACGTTATTAATATTCTTTTATTATTACTTAATATCAAGTTTGTAAGTAAAATTTCCCTAATGTAGTTTGAAATAAGATAATCTTAAGTCACACAAAAATAAATTGTTTTTTAAACTAACGAAAATAGTGAAATAGATATATTATATTTATAATAGAAAATTATTTCCAATATACGTTTTTACTGTGATATTCACCAGAAGATATAAACGCAAAGTAAAATATCGCATTTATAATACTATAGGTTTGAGGTTTGGTTTTATTTCTAGTGAGACCACACAATTTCGTAACACTTGTGCTGTAGTTGTTATTAGTGCTGGATACCTTTATGCCCAGGTGTTTTTTTCAGTTTGTGTTACCAGATTCAGACTTTTCCTTTTGTGTTCAAACGATGTATAAACTTTGTTAGACTTCATTCTTCGCTACCTTATGCCCGCATTACCCATTTTAAAATAGCATCTCATCCATAATGATAATGATATTAAATTCCATGTGAAGTTAACTGTCTCACATCGGACGAATACCCACGTGGTGGATAGGGGAACGCCCTAACCGGTCTTAGGACCGATGGATAGCTAGGAAATAAAATACCACCCTTGAACTCAAACAGACTAAGGTATTGCAATCCTAACAGAAGAGTCTCTGACCCTCCAGGTTGGGGGTTGGGCTAGAGGCCAGCCACCTGGACGGAACTTATAACGACGACTCTGTTGATAAAAGATGTTAAAATCTTTTATCAACGTCTGTTTGCCTTGCAATTTTTAGAAGGCTCAGATTATAAAGCAGAAATCTGAATTGTGTTTCGAAACTATTTTACGATTGTTGTAATTAGATGTCGCTACTGCGTCCGTATTGAAGCCATGTTATTGTTGCTTCTTAAAAGGCAGAAAATATTGATTTTTCACGTTGAGGACTCCTATGAATAGCTCTTCTGACGAGACCTATTAGGTCGAAATACGTATCAAGAGATACATAGGATTTGTTTGCGTGAAATCAAATATTTGCTGCCTTTCTTCATTTTATTCGGATTTACTCTGTGGGAGTACTAGAAGCACAATTCGCTAAGGATTTCTGCTTAGTTGTAAAAGACATGTCGTGGAATGCAAATTTTAGATACCCCATGTCCCTTTTAACATCTTTATTTCGGGCGAGGCTACTTAATACCTGCGCCTGCGCCAGCCTGTTGCTATGCAGGAGGCGGCAGCGCGGCAGGCGGGCGGTCAGTAAGTAAGAATGTAACCAACCAACCAGAAAGAACGAGTTGACGACCGATCGACATCGACGCGCCACTCTGTTGTGTTTTATTCTGTGATTTTATTTTATCGAAATAGCGCGCTATCTACTGTTTGTATCGAAATAGCAGATTGTTTTTAGAGATTATTTATGCCACTACTACTGTAAAATGTCTCTTTCAAAACCAAGTGGAAGTAAGAGGAAAATCACAGACGAACATCGAATATTTTAAGAAAAATGGGAGTTGGAGTTTTTTTGCAGTGAAGTGAAAGACAAAATTATTTGCCTTATTTGTAACAGTACAGTGGGTGTCCCTAAATTATACAATATCAAACGTCACTATGATCAGCACAAAGCTAAGTATAACCAGTATGTGGGGGCAATAAGAAATGAAAAATTAACCGAGTTAAAAGCACGATTAACAAATCAACAACTCATGTTTACACGAGCTAAACAAGAAAATGAGTCTGCTGTTTATGCAAGTTACGTACTTTCAACATTAATCGCCAAACACTCAAAACCTTTTGCTGGAGGTGAATTTATAAAAGAGTGCCTCGTGAAAGCCGCAGAAATTGTTTGTCCCAGAAGCGTTAAAGCTTTTCAAAGTATATCTTTTTCGCGGAATACAGTCGCTGAAAGAGTCACTGAGTTGGCTAGTAACATAAGCGATCAAATAAAAATGAAATCAGATACTTTTATCGCATTTTCAATTGCCTGCGACGAAAGTACAGACGTGTGTGGTGTGGCTCAACTCGCTGTTTTTTTTTTCGTGCTGTTTATAAAGAAATGAATATTTATGAAGAACTACTTAAATTGGTGCCTTTGCATGACACAACGACTGGGGAGGATATATTGAATACTGTGTATGAACTGCTACAACGGTATAATTTGAATTTATCAAAATTGTCTTCTGTTGCAACTGACGGGGCTCCTTCTATGACAGGAATAAATAATGGCTTCATTAAATTATTACAGACCAGAATTAAGGAGACATACAAAGACGTACCAGATTTTCACCACGTTCATTGTATAATACACCAAGAAATCCTATGTTCAAAAGTGATAAAGATGGAAAGTGTGTTAAAAGCAGTAAAAAAAATTATTAACTTTATAAGATCACGTGGTTTAAATCAGCGACAATTTACTGCGTTTCTACGCGATTTAGAAAGTGAATACGCGGGCTTGCCTTATTATACGGAGGTGCCGTGGCTTTCGTGTTCTATGGTTATCGATCGATTTTGGAAACTAAGAGAGAAAATACGACTTTTCATGGAAATAAAAAACCAAGATGTCAGTTTTCTGTCCGATGTATCGTTTTTACAAGATCTTTCTTTTATGGTAGATATCACAAAACACCTATCAGAGCTAAATACAAAGTTGCAAGGACCACGTCAAATTATTACAGACATGAACGATCAAGTAAAAGCTTTCAAGTGCAAGTTATTACTGTGGGAAAAGCAGTTAGCAGTTAATAATTTGTCGCATTTTCCGACATGCAAGGACTTCCAAGAAAATAGTAGTGTCGAAATTTCGTATAATAAATATGTCGAGAAAATTAGAAGTCTGCAGGCCGAGTTTGAGAGACGTTTTCAAGATTTTAGACTTCAAGATGCAAATTTTTCCTTATTCCCAGGCCTTTTCTCCATTGACATAGAAAAAGTTCCCGATCACTTGCAGATGGATGTCATTGAAATTCAATGTCAGACTCACTTGAAACAAAAATTTAATGATGTTGGTTCATCTGAATTTTATAAGTACCTACCTGTCCAGTATGAAGAACTACGGAACTTTGCTTGCAAAGTGATATCAATGTTCGGAAGTACCTATCAGTGCGAGCAATTATTTTCCTTGATGAAAGGAAATAAATCACCGACACGATCGCGATTGACTGACACACACTTGGATGCAGTACTGAAATTAATTTCAGCAGATAAATTTACTCCTCAAATAGATAACTTAATTAAAGATAAAAGGTGTCAGATTTCAGGGAAAAAATTGTAATTATTGCAACTTAACTTACCTACCTGTTTTGTTCAATTATTTACTTTTATTATGTAATTAAACTATTAAACGATTGCTGGACTATCTTTACTATACATTTTTTTTTGTTTGGCCGAGTCTTGCGGTGCGGCCCATTGATACTGTGATCATTTTAAAAATGGCCCGCTAAGTACTTTTAGTTTGACATGGCTGCACTAGGATGTAAAATCGAAATTGATGGAAAAATAATAAAGCAGGAAGCAAGGTTGAGATATCTGAGAATAGACATAACTAGTTACGGAGATTTTGAACAAGAAGTATGACAACAGAGCTTAAAAGCAATTAAAGCGGCGGGATCTCCTAATGACACAATCTGGATGAACAAACACTTAAAACAATACACAAAACAAGACTCTATAAAGCAGTAATTGGACCTATATTAACATACACGGCGGAGAGAAGACCTGACACATCTAAAACGAGACGACTACTAGAAACAAGAGATGAAAATACTTCGACGAATATATGGGAAAAGTCTATTGGATAGAGAGAGAAGCGAAAACATTAGAAGAGCATGCAATATAGAAGACATAAATGGATGGGTGACAAAACGAAAACAGGAGTGGAACGAACACATCAGTAGAATGGCAGAGGATAGAATAGTACGAATAGCACGAGATAAGTCACTAAATGGACAAAGAAGCATTGGCAGACCAAAAAAAAAACAAAATGGAGTGACAATTTAAACAAATTAGGAGGCTAATATTGAAGAAGAAACAGGCTTTAGCCTACATACAGGAAGAAAGAAGAAGAAGTTTAAAGGAAAATTATTCTATATTTCCTGTAATATCTTTTAAGCTTTTATGTGAATTTTCCTGTAACCGGTTTTTTTATTATTGACTAATGACTATATAACTAATGTTAATTAGACAGAATTGTGTTACTTACTGATGATGGAAAAATCATAAAACAAATCTCACATTCCTCTGTTCCATTATTTGATTTTTTAGGTGGCTAAAAATAATGTTAAATTAAAAAAATTGAATGCTACTTACAGATTCAACTTGAAATAAATTAATATTGTATATTATCATTCAGCACTCAACTATTACCTTTGCTCTAAAGCTAATATTCAATTCCTTAAAAGGATTAATAACTCTAGCCTCAGAAAACAACTGATCTTGATCACCATCATAGAACCTTTCCATTAACTTTTCTTTATCCCATCGAAAGTGATTTAAAAGAATACGTGTCGTTGTTGCAGGTATCTAAAAAAATGAATTAAAACATTATAACAGAAAATTTTTGTCTCACATCAAATTGTTTATGAAGTTATCCAATTTAATTTGTGGAATCAACATTAATTCTGGTAACAATAAGTTATCTAGTGTGGTCTTTATAGACCCTCAAATATTGAAGAAATACCGGAATACACCAAAATAACCCTTTTGGAGTGTAATTTTCCTCGTCACGACAGATTTGCTTGAAAATTTGGATTTAGATTCCTCTTGTCAAAAATTTTCACTTTTGGACTAGAGTCCAAGGTTGCTTTACTTGGGGGGTGAACGCCACCCCCCTTGGTGGTGAAAAAACATACATTAGCATCAAAACTAAGCGAGTTATGCTCAAAATAAAGTTGGTCCCTTTTTTGGTAAAAACATCGTGAAAGTCACCCCCTAATTAGTACCCCAAATAAAATTAATTATTACCGCTTTACAATGTACTTATACAAGTAATTTTTATATATAAGATCTGTAAGTTTGCCCGGTTTAAAGAGTTTATGTGTTTTAAATTTGTTTTTAAAGTAAAAAAAATTGAACATTTTGATGCAACTGAAATGAAATGCAATTGAAATACCTTTTTTCAAAATTAACTTAAAATAAATACCTTAAAAACTATTAGTGATACGAAATATCTCTTGAACAATAAAAAAATATACTTTTTCCATTTCTGAACATTCTGTTTCATTTTTTTTTGTTTTTCTGTAAGACAAAAATTGGTTAAGATGTTCAAAGTTTGCATACACCCGTGATTAGTAACTCGTTCAAGCCCTTTCAACTACAACCTTTTTCAAAAATAATTTAAAAAATAATAATAATTGAATTGATGTTATTGCCCTTAAATAGATACACACAAGTTCATCATTCATCGTGGAGTTCGCCAGGGCGACACCATTTCACCAAAACTGTTTACAACATTATTGGAATACATGTGTAAGCGTGCAAACCTAGACGAAAAGGGCATAAACATAAATGGAGAGCAGCTAAGTCACCTCAGGTTCGCGGACGATATAGTCCTGATAACAGACTGCATAGATCATGCCATCGAAATGTGCGAAAGACTCTACCATGCCTCTACACAAGTGGGTTTAAAGATCAATAACTCAAAAACACAAGTGATGACAAACCTTGTTCTGAGTGAGAACATCAACATAGCTGGAACAAGTATAGAACAAACATCAGCATACAAATATCTGGGACACGAAATTCGCTTAAGTAGAGATAACCAGACCAATGAACTAATACGTAGAATAGGGTTGACATGGGCAGCTTATGGAAAGCTAAGAGATGTTTTCCAATCAGCTCTTCCCATCTGCTTGAAGAGAAAAGTCTTCGATCAATGTGTGCTGCCGGTTCTAACCTATGGTGCGGAGACGCTAACACTTACTAAGACGTCCGCAAACAAAATTCGAACAACACAGAGGGCAATGGAACGGTCCATGTTGGGATTAACCCTGAGAGACCGAATACCCAACACAGAATTGCGCCGAAGATCGGGAGTAACCGACGCAATCAAAATAATATCAACCTTAAAATGGAACTGGGCAGGGCACGTCGCGAGAACGAAGGACGGCAAATGGACAAAACGCATTCTTGAGTGGAAACCCAGACAAGATGCCTTTAGGAATAGAGGACGACCACCAACAAGATGGACGGATGACCTGAAACGGACACATCAAAATTGGATGCAGGCGGCTCAGGACAGAAATTTGTGGGGTGAACTACGGGAGGCCTATGTTCAGCAGTGGACGAGTATGGGCTGAATGATGATTGCCCTTAAAATATCTACAATAAGCACTTTATAGCTTAAAAGCTAACCTAGTTATGAGTAAAAAACCAATCCCATATTTTAGGGAATTTCATCATCCTTAAAAAATAATAAGGGTTGGTTTTAAGTTGAAATAACATAAATTCATAAAATTTTGATTAAAAAAATTATTGTATATACAGTATATATAACAAGGTTTCAAAACTCTAAATATTGTTGATTTATCGCCATAACAATCAATAAATGTCAGATTTCCATGGTACACTTGGAGAAAATAGAGGTATACCTATTAGAACTTTATCAATACTACCAGCATCAATTATTACTTCATAATTTTCAAATCAAAATATTCCGAAAATGGTACACAGTATCGAGTTTTACCAAGAGTACCTTTTTCGTGTAAAATTGAATGATGTTTAAGCTTTTTGAAATTTTGTTTAATAATTATGCTCTTAAAAAAGTTATATTGACTAATACTTAGTACGATCCGTGTAACTAGCGCCTTCTATGAGAATCAGATATAAAAACAAATTCATGGGATGTATCAGCTTCCAAAACATATTCGCATAAAATTTCATTACAATGTTGCCAGTAGTTTCGGCAAAATCATAAAAAAATGCGTAAATGTTTTTTTCTTCAACGTCCTGTATCTTGAAAACGGATGGCGTTACAAAAATTTTTTACTAAGCAAACCCCAATTATTTTTCAGTTTTTTACCTACAATAGAGACCTTGGGGGTTACCTTTTTTGAAACACCCTGTATAGTTTCAATGAAAAAAATACTACAACTATTCGAATTTCTTTGGAAGGATTGGTTTTATAAGGGTAGAAATGATGTGGTAAAAATTATAATAGTAAAGAAATTTAAAATTAATGTCACTGTATAATTATTCCAAATTGCTGGAATTTACAATTATGATTTTTTTTTCTAAAAGGGGTCGTTTTCATCCCTAAAAAATAAAAAGCAACGAACAGCGTAGGTCCAATTTTGAAGTTGAACTAAAGTATAACCTAAATCCACATTTCCATGCAAATCAGTGGAGACAAGGTATTCAATAACATTGTTTTAATTCTAACTAATCTAGGGGGTGGGATTTAGGGGTTAAACTATGATAAAATCTTAAATTATATTGTTTAATGTTATTTACTTTATTCACGATAACATTTATACAAAAGCAACCACCGGCACAAGTCCAAAAGTGAAATGGAGGGTAAGTAGAACATAAATCCAAATTTTCATGCAATCGGTGACACGTAAAATTACACAGTATCGCCGTATTTCAGTTCATTTACTGGACTAGAAGACTATATTAATTAGTTTCTTCAAATAAAGTATATAGCCGAGCTGTTTTCCCCTATAAAGACGCTTAGAAACGGAATATACCGACTACATTTTTTTGCCTTTCTACAGCACCAAACCTTTTTTATTCGATTCTATATATTTTTTTGAGTTCACATGTATTTTTCTTAAATTTTCCCAAGTGGACCGTAAATTCTTTAATAATAAAACAAATAACTTGTAACAAAAAACAATTTTCTGAATTGCTTCAAGTAAATTGTTTTCGACATATCTCATCAAAGTAAATAATTTTCAACAATCTCTTGGTAATTTTTTGAAAATGCTTCTTTTTCGAGTTATTTGCAATTTTTTGTTGAAACAATGATTTAATAAGGGATTTTTGAGATATTTTTCTAAACATTTGGCATTCTTTTCCCCAGGTAGCTGTAGCTTCCTTTGTGGTTATTGTTAGTTGTTGCCCTGGAAACCATCAGGGTCTTCTAACTGTAATGCCAAAATTGGTCGCATTGCTCCTGTAGTGAACCTTTTCCAAGTTAACATAATCCTTTTCTAACTTGACTGCACATATTATTCTTTTCCACTCATAAATAATTCACTAAAATCTGGTGTATTTCCTGAATGCCTGAAAACTGCCATAGTAACACCTGTTTGCAAAAAGGGTGATCCTGAATTAATTAATAACTATAGACCAATTAGCCTTCTATGTTCCTTTTCAAAAATCTTAGAAATGACTATGTATAGGCGGATAACAGAATTTTTAACAAAATTTCATATTATTAGTGCAAATCAGCATGGTTATCAACAGGGAAAATCAACTCAGACTGCGATTTTTCAATTTGTCTGGGATATTTTGAAATGTACTGAGATTGGTCATATGGCTTTGGGTCTCTTTTTGGACCTATCAAAGGCATATGACTGTTTAGTGCATGATATATTATTTGATAAATTGGAGAAATATGGTATATGTGGACCAGCATTGAACTGGTTTAAGTCCTACTTGGCAAATAGGAGACATCTAAGCGTTAATGCTAGTTTAAAGTTCCAGAAAGCTAAAGACTGGTTTTCTATGAATAGGTTGGTTTTAAATCAAAATAAAACAGATCTTCTTTTATTTAAGACAAATTATGCACATTCAGATATGCCAAACAGTATTATTGTAAATAATGACAATTTAAATATTAGCAGCAGTACCAAATTTTTAGGATTATATATTGACAGTTTTTTATGTTAGGATAAACATGTTGACCAGGTATGTATGTCTTTGAGTAAAGTGATTTACAGCTTTAGAGTTCTAAAAAAATACATGAATAGTAACTCATTAAAAACAGTGTATCATGCTAATTTTGAAGCAAAATTTAGATATGGTCTAATAAATTTTGGTCACAGTAGGGACATAAATAATGTATTTCTGGTTCAGAAAAAAATAATCAGAGTTATGTTTGACTTAAAAAGTAGGGAATCATGTAGAGGGCATTTTAGGAGTAATAATATTTTAACAGTTTACGCTGTATTTATTCAAGAATGCTTACTGTTTCTATATAAAAATAAAATACTCTTTAGGAACTTTGAGCCCAATAGTATAGTAAATACCAGGTTATATAATTATAAAATTCCAATACACAGGTTAAGTATAACAGAAAAAAACGCTCTTTATTGCTGCATCAAATTGTTTAATAAACTGCCTGAACCTATTAAAAGGGAGGAAAGATTAAGTTTGTATAAACATCAAATATTTAAATTACTGGTAGCTCTTGAGCCATATTCTGTGGAGGACTATTTGTAATGTAACGGTTAGGAATAAGTAAATAATATTTTCGTTTGTGACACTATGTTCACGAAATGTATATTATTTTCTAAAAATAAAGATATTGTTATGTTATATTTGGCGAAGATCGACAAGGAGCTTCTAAATTTGTTTTACGTTTTGAGCAGCAGGTTGAAATATGCACATTGGAATGAGATTGAATCCATTTGTTACAGGAAAATGGAAAATGAACTAGGAAGGAACACTGAACACCAGAAAAACAAATACGAACGCTTAACCAAACATAAGGAGGTAGAAACAAAACAACACACAGAAAGGTCAGTGGTCAACCTTTCAGTTAAGGTTTTAACTCATCATTTAACATCATTGCTAGCCAAAGGGGGAAATTTAGCCAACTAAAGTTATACCCAAAGAAGTATCATCGCTAATATCGAGTCTGCGATTCGCAACTTACCAATCGAAAAGGCTGAAGAAATAAGGACAGCATCAGCGAGAATTTTGCATAAAGCTAAGACACCGAAAAATAACCTGAGCCACCAAGAAATCCGTACCATAAAATCGTTAAACGCAGACAAAGATGTAATTTACCAGCAGACAAGAGAAACGCCACCGTCGTAATGACGACAAACGACTACAAAACGAAATTACAAAATCTTCTAGATCCTGCGGTATATATAAACAACTTAAAAAAGATCCCACAGTCACTCTACGGAAAGTCAATAGACTTATAAAATCTTCGTCCATACCAGAGGATATAAAGCCAAGAATATGCAACAGCGAAGCAGTCCCACCTCGCTTGTATGGCTTACCAAAAATACGCAAAGAAGATGTACCTCTACGCCCTATTTTGAGCTCCATAGGATCTCCGTTTTACAGCCTTGCTAACAACTGGCTGATATTTCACAACCACATATAAGAAAAAACGATGCCTTTGTAAAAGAATCCACCCATTTCATCGAGAAGATCAAAGGAATAACTTTCCTTTGATCTTTCCTAACAGGAATCTGACATTCTTGTTAGCTTTGATGTTGTTTCCCTATTTACAAGAGTTCCCCTAAAAGGCGTTCTGAATTTAATTGAGGGACTAGTTTCCAAGGATATAGTGGAATTATACTGTATTTGCCTCAGTACCACCTACTTTTCATGGGAAGACCAGATTTATGAACAGATAGATGGAGTAAGTAGCAATGGGAAGCCCACTAAGCTCGGTCATAGCCAACCTTTTCATCGAGCATCTAGAGAAGAGGGTGATGGACTCAGCATTCAAGCCGAGGGTATAGTTGAGATATGTTGATGACACTTTTCTGATTTGGGGTCACGGAGTAGAAAAACTTAACGATTTCCTGTCTTATATAATCACACTACACCCAAATATTCAATTTACAATGGAAACAGAAAAAGATCAACAATTAGCATTCCTAGAAGTGTTAGTAAATCTAAAGGAAGGTTACTTAGGACATAAAGTGTCTCGAAAACCTACACACACGGACAGGTACCTAAACAGGAACTCAAATCATCATCCAGGCCAAAAACAAGGTATCATCAAAACTCTGGTAGAGAGGGCGAAGAGAATTTGTGAACCACAGTATCTGCAAAGTGAACTTCTTCATATCGAAAAAGCGCTCACCTATAATGGTTATACCAGAAGAGAAATACATAAAGCGATGAACAACGTCTCTAGAAAAAAGGACAAAGAAACAGAATGTATAGGTAAAGCATTCTTGCCCTATATATCGGGGGTAACGGACAGAATTGGGCGAATACTTAAAAAAGCTAATGTGAAGACTATTTTCAAGCCTACAAAGAAAACAAGGACTGTTTAAGATCGGTGAAGGACAAACGACACCCATTAGCAACGGCCGGAGTATACCGAATGCGATGTATGTGGAATAGTATATGTGCGAATCACGAAAAGACACACAAACACAATGATAAACGAACATAACAGCCATTGTCTTTTAGGGCATATCAACAAATCTGATGTTGCCGAACACGCTTTGGAAAGCCGAGAACATTGGATACTGTTTGAAGAAACGCAGATGCTGGATAAAACATCACAGAACTACCCACGGTTGTATCGGGAAGCGGTGGAAATATATAAGCACCCAAATAATTTCAATTGGATAGAAGAAGCACTAAAAATCAACAAAACGTGGATACCAATATTAAAATCCACAAACACCCTTCCCGAAAAACACGAAGAAAGAGAAGCTACTACAAACGACGACATGCTCCCTAACGCCGAAACCAGTGGAGAGGAGACAAGTAGAAAATATAAATATGGCCTCTTTAGTACAACGCGGCGTCAGTTTCAGCTTACAAGCGAAACAGTAACATCTCCAGAAGATGCCAATCCCTAGTGTTGGCAAATCATCGAGAACTAATCTCAGAAGAGAATGGTGCAACAGTCCGAACAAAAAGCAGCCTAACAAATTTCTAACCCATTGAGAACAGTGGAGAAGCTCTAGGTCTTGTTAAAGCCAATTTTGTGGTAACTGGCCATTCTTGTCCATTCCAACCAGGCCATTCGGTAACTTGTCACCAGTCAAGTTTCCATGTATAAAATATGGGTATATAAGCTTATTTTGGATAATTTTCATCAACATTAAAATTTTGGATGCTATTCTAATATGATCACTACAACTGATCATTATTATATAATTAATAATAAAAAGGAAAAAGATTGGTCTTGAGAAATAAATCTACCTATTATTTAACTGTTTAACTATTTGTCACTTTAACAAATTTCCTCTACCAAACTTAGTAAGTATATCTGAATTATTAATAACAACTTTTCTTAAATCTGCAAAAATATACAGTGAGTAGTGAATTTTTTAAACTATTACTCTGATTGGTCTTGGGAAATAAATGTACCTGCTGTTTAACTGTAAAGTGATTTATTTCTCATATAAACAAATTTCTGAACAAATATACAGGGTGTCCAACTTAAATTAAATAAGTTGAGGATATTTCCAGTGAAACCAGAAGTAGAGCAGTAGCAAAAAATATGGCATTAGGTGCATGTGTCATTGTACTTGCATGAAAAGTTTCATGAATATCATATTCTTTGTTTCAATGATATTTATTTGGTTGCATACTTCATCCTAACCCGGTATATGCAAAACCAAATCTTAGTCACAGTAAATGAACGAAAAAAGCGCAGAGGTTTTTAGCAGTCTAAAATGTCTTTTATAATTGTTGGTGATTTTTGTTTGGGGTTGTAGTAATGTAATAAAAAAAAATCTTATAAACTGAGTACTGTAATCTCGCAATTTTAAATAATGGCAAAGAAACCTTGCTGCATAGACCAGATAGTAATAATATATCAGCAATATATTATTAGTCACTGTGTTCTTTGACTGATGTCCATCATCCCATTAATTTATACTATTTATTTACATTAGAAAACAATGAGTTGATATATAGATTATTGTATCAACATATTTTAGATATTAAACTTACACCACAAAAATTTGACAGTGACTAGTAACAATAAAAAAAACAATTCATCAACAGTAACAAATGCATGAAAACAGTTATACAAGGTTTCGCTTATAACGAGGTACATTAGATGTCCGTGAAATTTCTATTGAACTATAACCCTCTATACTGAGGTAAATTTGGTTATAACTAGAGAAAATAAGATAGAAAAACATGTTTTTTACGTTTTTGACCCGGCCATGACTATAAATAAATACCCTTTTTAACTGCTGCTTGCAATAAACTTATTCTGTTTAATCTACTGACCAATATTGTGTTGTAGAAAATTTATTATTTATGATTCACAAGTGTCAGTGTAGAGGTTTGACCATTCACATCTAATAATAAGAAGGTTCTAATAGACAAGATGTGGAAAGTGCTTTAAACATTGTAAGAAACTCGTAAGACAAAATGAAAATGAAGAAGCATACAACTGTTTCACATCTTTAGAAAATATGACAGATAGCATGATACTGGACAATTTAAAGCAGTCAAAAATGACTTCTTCCAATTGCAGAAGCAATAGTTTATGTTATCCTTGAAAATATGCTTTATACATTATGTAGTTGAAAAAAATGTTTTGTTTTAACATATATCATTGATAATAAAAGCAAACAACTTTTTTTCAACAACACCATTCAAACAATATTTAGCATGTTATATTGCTCAAATGGATTCACTATAGGAAGTTATTGTGTTAGAAACCTACATATTCATATGTATGCACAGTATTATTGTTGTTTGATACAACAAGATCATCTTATAACAAGGTAATTAGTGTGCCATTTCAGTTCTCGTTATAGAGGGAGTCTACTGTAATATTATTTTAATTTTGGAATTATTTTGAAAAAGTGATTAGCATTAAAAAAAATTATATTATGTAGTTCTGAATAAGATGTAGAGTCAGAAATAAATGTATACCAGGCACATGATTATTTGTAGTGTTTCCTGCTGCTATAAAATGCTGGTTGAATTAATCAATTTATGAGCGCCTAGCGACAACATTCATCTTCCTCCAGCTCTGTTTTTCTAGAATATTTCTCTGCCTTTCCATGAAAGTATTTGCAAGAAAGGCTTCTTTTCCCAATAATATCTATGTAAAACCTTCTCAAAAAGAGAAAAAGTCATCAAAATTCTTCTATCAAGCCATATATCAAAAACTTGTACATTTACTAGTGATTAAGGCATATCTACATCACTCATTTTATTAGCTAATGATACAAAGTTTCAAGAGTGTATTTATTGTTCCATTATAACATCCATTGCTATGCTATTTGAGTTAAATTCCTTTCTCAGTGAAATATGTATATGGACCTACAAGTTGTTGCTTTCTTTTTTCATTAATTGCATTATAATAGATATAACTTCCAAAAATAGTGTTGCCCTACGAAAAATTATGCATGATATATAACCTGAAAATACATTATTCAGAACAATGAAATAAACAAAGATTACATTAAAACAAATAAAATTACACTAAGTTTGAAAATGTTAATAATTGTAAAAACAATTTTAAAAAACACATCAAATTTTTTGTTACCTGCTGTTTAAAATACAAGGTTTTCCTGTTGTGGAGGTTAGAGAGTCAAAAGGTTATTACTTAAATCACCACTTACCTCGACAACAGAATTAACGTCTTTAATTGAATCTACCATGTGCTGAACAATTTCCTCGGTACTAAGAACTTCAAAGGGGTAATCTTCTGAATCTGGTTGCATTTCTCTATGGCCAGTTACTTCCACTTCCATGGCAAAATCAACATCATCTCCACTTGACTCGTTTCCAGAGTCAACATCATCATAAGTTTCCTCTTCCGAGTCCATTTTAAATATAAATTAATTCGATGTATTCATATAATTTAATATTTAATGCTCTCTTTGAATTTTGCGAATATAAAATAGAAAAACAACACAAATAATACAGTTAAATACACATTGAAAGCAATATAATATTCACTACAATCTAATACAGTGTTGCCGCACTGCATTATCAAAATCTGTTGATTTTAGATGATGTTCAAAAATTGCTCAAAAAAGGTGGTTTTCTATCTTAAATTAATCCAAAAGCATTTTGCAATGTTAATTAAATTTTTATATTCCCAAAAAGTAATATATTTAAATTCCAATTCAAACCACAGCATTCGTATTAAAAAGGCATTATTAAAATTACAGTATTATTAGGATGTTACCAAAATTATTTGTCAGAAATGTAATTGTTTTTAATTAAAAAATTTTTAACTAAAATCCAGTCTAATGAAAAGTATAAATTTTGGACAAACGCATAAATTGAGTAATCTATAAAAAAAATAAAAAACGTTTTCAGCTTATCATAAATCTTTTTACACAACGTGACAACCTCTAAAAAGTTGATAAAGGAATTAACATACAATAAATGCAATGTCACACTTGTCATTCTTGACGTTAACCGTATTTCGTGAGTTGTCTATATTTTCGATTTATAGTATGACGTTGCACACAAAAACTATTTTATTGAAATGTAAAAACTAAAATAAGATATTTAGCCTTGACTATTTTATGAGAATGGCACAATCACAGACATAATAAAAAAATATGTTACAATAGGCGATACAGTAGACTAGTGCGAAGCTTCATAAAATGTTTTCTATATTTTAAAATTTAAAAAACATTTTTAAAATTGAATAAAGTAATTTTATTATTTATTTATTGTTTATATTTTTAAACAAATTAAAGTGCTTCAGGGTAATTGGGGCCAGAGGAGGTAACTGGGACATAGGTAGTTCTTATCCTTATTTGTAGGAATTTCAAATTTACCAGGTTGGCACACCTTCTTACTTGAACAACAGTCCTAACCTCATTTGAAGGCCTTTTCTTTCTTTAAGTTGATCCAAAATTTTAGTGAAGAAATCTTCAGTTACAACGGCCTGCTTAAGCGACATTTACAGTTTTTCGCATTAATGTGGTGAGTATTTCTATCCTATTTACTTTAAAATAAAAATAAACAATGATGTTATCTATAAACATGATTGTCATCACTCTAAATATTCTTGTAGTTTTTATAACAGGGGTGTTCCAGTTACCCCAAGAATTTTCATAACATGGCGTAAATGGGACAGAGGGTTGGGGTAACTGGGTTCTGATGAACCCAGTTATTTATAATAGAACCCAAGCTATTTATAAAATATTAAATATAAGTATGTGTATCTGTCTGTTTGTCTGTATGTTTTTATGATTTGATTGTAATGGAACTTTGGGTGTTTGAAATACTATTGAACTCAATAACTTATGTACTTAATAAGTAAAAATTCAAATTAAAACTTGACTTATACTTACTTAAGTACATAAAAATTACAATATTTTTTCTTTGTTTCAGGCTAAGCTATGGTACGAAATTACCAAAGAAAAACTCAGAAGGATGCTGGTCTATCCTACTCGGCCGAGGATCTTGCCAAAGCTGTAAATGATGTGAAAAATGGGAACAAAACTGTGCGTGGAGCAGTCTTGTTTTACAACATTCCTCGCAGTACTCTTCAACATAATGTTTCTGGAACTCGGGTGAAAGGACATGTCTCTCAAGGCCCAAATAGTGGTGGTGGGGGAGTGGCATCTTATATTTCGGCTGCTGATGAAAAGGAACTTGCCAACGAGATAAAAGTTATGGAAAAAATGGATTCGGTCTAACTGGAGAAGGGGTACTTGACATTGTACAATGTTATATTGTCCAGCACAAACCTGAAACCAGATTCAAAAACCAGCCACCTGTCCCAGATTGGTTCATTTCATTTCGTAAAAGGAATCGCCTTTCAATAAAGTTACCTCAAAGCATTGAACATTCTCGATGTGATCAGATATTGGGTTATTTATGATTTTTTTGATAGATTAACTCAACTCTTTGAGGATCTTGGTTTGAAAGAAAAGCCAAACCAAGTATATAATTGTGACGAAACTTCTTTCAGTCACGATCCATCAAAAACAAGTGCGTCTGGAAGGGAAAACATAACAACATTACTGTCTGTTTCTGCAGATGGTAGGATGCTACCTCAGCTTTGTGTTTTTAAAGGAAAATCTGTAATGGGGAATTGGGTGGATAATGAAGTGCCTATCCAAACAGCCGTATCAGTAAGTGAAAGGGGTTGGATGGAAACTATATTGTTTTTGAATTGGTTCAAAGATGTATTTTTAACTAACATTGGTAATGAGAGACCAGTTTTGTTGCTTTACGATGGACATTATAAACATATGTCAACAAACCTTATCTGGTTGGCACAACAGAATGACGTTACTATAGTAAAATTGCCACCTCATACAACACATGTGTTGCAACCGTTAGACGTGGCAGTATTTAAGGGCTTAAAACAAAAATGGGATAAAGAGTTTTGTAAGTGGCAACGACAAAATCCACGAAAGAAGATTCCCAAACAAGATTTTATATGAGAAATGAGAAAAGGCAGCAAATATTTGATTTCACGCAAACAAATCTTATGTATCTCTTGATACGTATTTCGACCTAATAGGTCTCGTCAGAAGAGCTATTCATAAGGTTTCTCAACGTGAAAAATCAATATTTTCTGCCTTTTAAGAAGCAACAATAACATGGCTTCGATACGGACGCAGTAGCGACATCTAATTAAACAATCGTAAATAGTTTTCGAAACACAATTCAGATTTCTGCTTTATAATCTGAGCCTTCTAAGAATTGCAAGGCAAACAGACGTTGATAAAAGATGTTAAAAGAGACATGGGGAATCTAAAATTTGCATTCCACGACATGTCTTTTACAACTAAGCAGAAATCCTTAGCGAATTGTGTTTCTTGTACTCCCACAGAGTAAATCCGAATAAAATGAGAAAAGGCAGCAAATATTTGATTTCACGCAAACAAATCTTATGTATCTCTTGATACGTATTTCGACCTAATAGGTCTCGTCAGAAGAGCTATTCATAAGGTTTCTCAACGTGAAAAATCATATTTTCTGCCTTTTAAGAAGCAACAATAACATGGCTTCGATACGGACGCAGTAGCGACATCTAATTAAACAATCGTAAAATAGTTTTCGAAACACAATTCAGATTTCTGCTTTATAATCTGAGCCTTCTAAGAATTGCAAGGCAAACAGACGTTGATAAAAGATGTTAAAAGAGACATGGGGAATCTAAAATTTGCATTCCACGACATGTCTTTTACAACTAAGCAGAAATCCTTAGCGAATTATGTTTCTTGTACTCCCACAGAGTAAATCCGAATAAAATGAGAAAAGGCAGCAAATATTTGATTTCACGCAAACAAATCTTATGTATCTCTTGATACGTATTTCGACCTAATAGGTCTCGTCAGAAGAGCTATTCATAAGGTTTCTCAACGTGAAAAATCAATATTTTCTGCCTTTTAAGAAGCAACAATAACATGGCTTCGATACGGACGCAGTAGCGACATCTAATTAAACAATCGTAAAATAGTTTTCGAAACACAATTCAGATTTCTGCTTTATAATCTGAGCCTTCTAAGAATTGCAAGGCAAACAGACGTTGATAAAAGATGTTAAAAGAGACATGGGGAATCTAAAATTTGCATTCCACGACATGTCTTTTACAACTAAGCAGAAATCCTTAGCGAATTATGTTTCTTGTACTCCCACAGAGTAAATCCGAATAAAATGAGAAAAGGCAGCAAATATTTGATTTCACGCAAACAAATCTTATGTATCTCTTGATACGTATTTCGACCTAATAGGTCTCGTCAGAAGAGCTATTCATAAGGTTTCTCAACGTGAAAAATCAATATTTTCTGCCTTTTAAGAAGCAACAATAACATGGCTTCGATACGGACGCAGTAGCGACATCTAATTAAACAATCGTAAAATAGTTTTCGAAACACAATTCAGATTTCTGCTTTATAATCTGAGCCTTCTAAGAATTGCAAGGCAAACAGACGTTGATAAAAGATGTTAAAAGAGACATGGGGAATCTAAAATTTGCATTCCACGACATGTCTTTTACAACTAAGCAGAAATCCTTAGCGAATTATGTTTCTTGTACTCCCACAGAGTAAATCCGAATAAAATGAGAAAAGGCAGCAAATATTTGATTTCACGCAAACAAATCTTATGTATCTCTTGATACGTATTTCGACCTAATAGGTCTCGTCAGAAGAGCTATTCATAAGGTTTCTCAACGTGAAAAATCAATATTTTCTCCCTTTTAAGAAGTAACAATTTTATATCTCTTTTAACAAGCAAGATTTTATATCTCTTTTAACAAAAGTGGCTCAAGAGATTTCTCTCATGAGTATCATTAACGGATTTAGAACGACAGGCACATACGATCCTGACCCAGAAGTTAAAGGACCTAACAAGAAGGCCATTTCTGAGTCTGTTTTCAATCCAACCTAGTTCCAAAAATATAAGAAAGAACTTGGCCTCAAATCTACGCAGTGGACCATAGATGCTGGACCATCATCAGAAGAGCCCAGGCAAACACTGACAGCCGAGCAGCCTTTTACAGCTTCCACTGCTAATCTCGAATTGTCATTGATGGAAAAGCCTGATCAGTCTCTGGCAACTGAACAAGACCATACATTAACAGCCATCGATGAGCAGCTTATAATAGTTGATCCTAAACATGAACATGAATCTTTTTTCATATTAAACACTAACATATTAACAGTGGAGCAGCCTTCGACAGCTGGACAAGAGCAGTTAATCGCAGTTAAGTCTGCTCAACAAATGGAAGTCAATATGTTAGTCGTTACGGAAGTCAATAATTTCCAACATTTAATCATGAAGTGCCATCAGCATCCAAGCGAAAGACATTTGAAAAGCTACTGTTGCACCTTGTTAAAAATAACAACAGAAACCCTGAAAAGTCAAGAAAAAGGAAAAGGATTGTCCACACCTGTGAAAGTAATAATAACTTAAAATGAAAGAAAATGAGGAAAAGGAGAAAGAAAAAGCTGTGCTTGAAAAGGAAGAAAAAC